GGTCGAGAGTAAATGTTTCCACATTAGCATTTATTAACCAATCAGCGACAATATCTCAAACGCTTAAACAGCTTTCAAAATGCAGACAATATCTGTTATCTGCTACGAACATTTGAAGGCTCATGATTAATATTTTTTCATCCTAAAAATTGAAATTAAATATTGGGAAATATATTTTAAACCAATAACATTCTGAGGTTAATAAATCTAACTTAACTTTTTGTAATTCGATTTTTCTTATTAAAAGCTTAGCGCAAATTAACAAGATCAGTTTTTAGTATAAACCATTAACCAGGGATGTAGACCATACTGATTACCCACCTTTCGTATAATATATTGAGTTATGTGTACCATCTTGCAAATAACTTCTCTTTTTAAAATATTTTATACAACAGGAAAAGTTAAGGAGCGGGATATATAAACAAAGCGAATTATAGCAGTAGTACAAATAAGATCGACTTACAGAACTCTTTCGGCTGACTGCTAGAAATTAGATGCATACATAAAATAATGAAAATACGGAAATTTCGGAGAAACATTTCGCATACATCTTTCATTCATGTTAACACAATTCATTTTATTCATACTGTAAAAAGATAAAACAAAATATTTTTCGTGAACTTTGTTTGCGAGCAACTTTTTTAACTTGTTTTTTCAAGTTAAAAGAAAAATTATTTTTATAGTCAATAATAAAATTATTTAAATTTGTAGAGCTGCATTTGAAGATTATTTCTTTTCCATACTTTTTCCTTTACAAATATAAATATATATATATATATATATATATATATATATATATATTAGAGAGATAAAAGTAGTGAGATAAAGAAAAAGAAATATAGAGTGAAAGAAAGAAAACCGTGAGTGAGATAGAAAAAAGAAATAGAAAAAGAAAGTAAAAATTTGAAACAGAAACAAAGAGGAGGACATGCAGAAAAGACACAAAGAAAAATGATGATGAAAAAAGGAGGAAAAAGAAGAAGAGAAAGAGGAAAAGGAATAAAAATTAGGTAGTTGATAGTAAAGAAGAAAGAATAAGTAAAGATATGAAAAAGAGAATAATAATAAGATCAAATGAGAGAGAGAGAGAGAGAGAGAGAGAGAGAGAGAGAGAAAGAAAGAGGGGAGCAGGAAAGCATATAAACTTGAAAATTTTCGAAACGGAAATGAAAGGCAATTATCAAAGAAAAAGAAACGAAAAAGAATGTGAAGGAAATGAAACTAAAAAAGAAAGAAAAGAAAAACAGAGAAAAAGATTCGAAAGAAAGAAAAAAAGACAAAAAAAAGCAATTAAAGATAAGAAAAATACGAAAAGAAAGAAAAATTCAAGCTATAAATAAAGAGGAAGATAAAAGAAAGGTGTGGACGAAATGATAAGAAATAAAAAGTTGTATGAAGGGATTTATAAGAATTAGTCTGTAGTCCTAAATTTTGACAAAGCACCGCCCAGATATACAACCGATAAAAATAGGTCACTCAAAAGTTATTATATCTAACGGAAATGACAAAGTTTAATTAATAGCATCAGTTTGATATTACCTGTACATGAGATAGAGCCAATAGATTCATTTGTCTTACGAGACGGCCATTTTCAGCTCAGCCCGTATTTTGTGATTACCTCCCTTGACTGCTAAGGACCGCTAGATGGCGTCAGTATATACAAAAATGGGCACATTGACTCTCTCTTTTCTCTCTTCTATTTTTTTAATCAATTCCCCGCGAGCAAGGCGATAACGCCACTAAGACGCAAGGGCTTTACTGGAAGTGAAAGAGAAAGAAACCGGAAACCCAGTTCTAAACAGGGAACAAGAGATAAACCTCTATTCCTCTTCAAAAGACCAGGAAGGAGTGTGAACTGGATGATTGTCGAATCTATCTACAGAATTCCCTAGGGACATAACGTGTCTTGATTAATAATACCGCAATAAACTGACAAAAGGTAATGACTAAATAGTACATTTGTAATTTGTATAAATACACATTACAAAATTAATTCGAATTGCATAATAATAATAATAATAATATTCAGTCGAGGAAACTAATGAAGGTCGTAGTTCCTATTAGCCGAGAAGTAATTCAAATTACTCTCATAATAATAATAAAGTTCAAATGAGGTACTAAACAATGAAGGCTGGAGATCCTACTTGCCGGAAAGTAATTTAAATTACATACATACATACATACATACATAATATTAATAATAATAATAATAATAATAATAATAATATTGACATGGCAGTCCCTGCAGATTGTAATGTATCTTTGAAGATCTTAAAAAAACCTATCAAAATACAAGGAATTTGAGTTGGAAATCTAAAAAATGTGGCATATGAAGACATCAATAATTCCAGTTGTAGTTGGAGCCCTCGCATTAATTTGAAATGGTTCCGATATATACATTCCGGAGATTCCTGGTAGCCAATGCCTTAAAGAATTCCAAAAATTGTATTCACAAGTACAGACCACAAATTACGAAGAGTTTTATCTCTGTAAAATGCGGGTGATCTAAGGTTTCTTCTTTTTTTTTTTTACAAAACAAATGAAGCCATTTCTGACCTTAGGTCTCTGGTTGGGAGCCGGAAAGAAATGTTTTAACAGAAATCCAAGGAAATAATAATAATAAAATAATAATAATGATGTTCAACTGAGGAAACTTAAAGTAAACAATGAAGGCAGGAGATCCTACTGGCCGAGAAATAATACAAATTACTTGAATAATAATAATAATAATAATAATAACAGATAAGAAATTCTGGAAGTGTATGCTTATTGACATAGCAGTACCATCTGAGAGAAACACCTCCATGAAAATTATCGAGAAACAAGGAAAGAGGGAAAAGAGAGAAAGAGAGAAACAGGGAAGCAATACGTAATCTATCGTTCGAGTTTAAGTAAATGGCTTGCAGGACAGGGTTTAGGAGAGATAACGAAAAGACAAAATTTATCAACACCTACAAAGGAAACGGAGTCGTGGAGAGCCAGGACCACCAATGCCCTGAAAGTGCACGGCACTTAGAAGAAGAATACTACAGTGAGACCCCGCCTATTCGCGTTTCAGCATTCTCGGCTTCCCACATTCGCGGATTTTTCTTTAGAACATATGTACTTGTTATTCGCGGAAACCCCGAATATTCATGTGTTTTTCTGAAAAACATATCTACATATCTCCCTCCCTTCACTGACATTTAAGAGGATTGATATTACATCACATTTTAGTAATCTTCTCTTTGTTTTTTTTCTTTTACAGCGAGGTTCACCCTTTACAAAGCCACTCGAGGTAGAGGGTTACTTTTTGAGACCATTTGTGTGTATAGAAGTGGAAGACAGCAAAGACTGTATGGATCGGTTAAAAATCCTCTTAGGAGTCGTTTCCACAGGGCAGTGGTTCGTGGGAAGAAGCTGTTCGAGTGGAACTTACTTCTCATTCATGGAATACGGAGGGAATGTGGATGTTTTGCTACTGTGTAAATGACAGCGTGTTCCCTGAAGGGAATGTAGTTCGTCTGAGCACTTTCCGTGGAAGTATCGGTAGAGTAGTGAGCGGTTTGTCACATACCGCCTGTTGGAGAGAGGTTGGAGATGAAGAATAATTTATCACATACAAGGGCTCGCAGACGCTTTTGAACTCTATCAAGGCTATAGAGTGAGATCTGGACAACTATCGCCCAAATATGATGCTATTTAGGTACTCGGCAGTTGATCGGGCCGAGCGAAAGCCATACTTGTCGCTGAAGAGGTTGTTCTTTTCAAGGTCCTCGACGACCTTCTTATCAATTATAGCCTCAAAAAGCTTAGGTTATATCTAAAGCAGTTATATCTAGTTTGTTCAATGGTAAAACGGCGGGACCTAGTTGCCAACCCAGTAGAAGGCTTAAATTCACGCAGTCGGGACATCAAGGAGAAAATCTCATCAGAACAATTGCCATGAAAATATTTGAAGAAGACAGACAGAATACATGTCACAAGCGGCGGGAAAGTGACTGAAACCAAAATTCCAGGTCAGAATCTATTACATTGCAGATTCTTCTTTGAATTTCGTCAAGATATATAAGAAGAACAAAAGATCAGATATTGCAACAATATTAAATTCACAGACCAATTTTATATTGATAAATATGCAAGATGGATTCTAACGAGAAAAATTGTCTGACATGACACAGTGAACCAACTTACCGAGCAGTAGACCAAACAAGTGATTTAATATAATCACTCCACTTCATGTCTGTGGAAATATGAACCCAAGATGTCGCAAAGTGTTGCTCTTTTAGAGGTTAGCATCAGTTGATGGCAGGCAGAAAAAGTTAGAACTTATCTTTCACTATTCAGATTCGCCTTTAAATTTCTGTGTTGCATTTTCGATCGTTTGTTGTGAACAATAAATTTCTAAATCTCAGTACTTAGGGGATGATGGGAAGGTTTACAAAGGATGTAAATTGTTAAATGTAAGTAGCGTATGTTTTATTGCTTCTTATTGGGGATGGGAAAAGGAGGTTAGTAACTCCAAAGAAAACGAATTTGCTTGAAAATGGATAAAATCATCTTGTCGAAAAGGAAAAAAGAAAAAACAAAAAGAAAAAAAGCAAACAAAAAAACAGCCGTTATGTGTTCAATACGACAAAAGCAGGCTTGGTCTAGAGTTTGCAACTTGTAGCTGTTCAAATCCACGAATATAAACAACATGATCTTTTAAAAAAAAAGAATCATTCAGAGAAGAAAGTAAAAGAACAGGAATATAGTCAGTCACGAGTAAACAAAAAAAAAAAAACATAAAAAAATGAAAAAAAAAATACGGATGAACATTGTAAGTAAATGACGAGGAGAAATGGAAGAATAAACAGGATATTAAATGGAATTATTTATCAAGTACATAACAGGAAGTGTAACATAAATTAGGCCGGAGATCATACCGACCGAAAAATAATTCAAATTACTTACATAATAATAATGTTTAACAGAGGAAACTGAAACAAGGCGATGAATGCCGGAGATCCGAGTGGTCAAGAAGTAATTCAAATTACTCAAATAATAACAATAATGTTCGACTGAGGAAACTGTAACTAAACAATGAAGACCGGAGATCCTACTGACTTAGAAGTAATATAAATTACATAATATTAATATTCAACTGGGGAAATTCTAACTAATCAATAAAGGTCGCAGATCCTACTGGCCAAGTTGTTATGATTATTATTCTCATAATAATAATAATAATAATAATAATAATAATAATAATAATAATAATAATGTTCGATCGAGGAAACTGAAAATAAACAATAACGCCGGGGATCATACAAGGTAAAAAAAAGGAAGTGAGTAATTCAAATTCAAGGAATAATAATAATAATAAATCTATAAAAAGAATACCCGCTCGGCCTGGTGGCTAGGATCAAAGTGTAGTATCTGCGCTTTTTGAGCTGCCAGGTCGGTGTCTCAATCGAACTCTCCATTGCAGAATTGGAACCCATCACGAAGCTCTGCCGAAGAATAGGGTTTCGTTGGGGAGGTTGACGGAACTGGCCCGCCTCGGCGCAGGTTTGGATGGTTATTTATTTTTGGCTTTACGGACTCAGAATATACCCAACGTGGGTTCCTTGTGCCACATTCGATCCCCGTGGGTGGATTGATAAATACCATAATAATAATATTTTACAATTTAGACGATGCTAGGAAGGCCGAGAAACGCACTGGTTAATATATAATCTATATAATAAATGCAAATGTTAGTGTGTCAAACCTTTTCAATTAAAGAGACCCCATTCTCTAACTTTCAATAGCTCATGTTAGAGAAATTTTGGATTCCCAATTTTTCATTAATGCGATTTTTTCAGCGATTTTTTGCAAGAAATTTTTGTGCGATAACAATTTTTATAATTTGCAAATAAATTTGTGAATAATCGAAATTGATTGCAAAATCCAGTGGAAGTCATATAAATGAAGTAAAAATAATTGTTTGTACGAAAAGTAAGGACCTACGTACATCAAATTGTCTTTAAATTAAGTGGCGACAGAAGAATTATCGTTGAACTTTTAAAAGATAAGCTTAAATATTAATGCAATACTTAAGTGCAAGAGATCAATTTTGAGTTCTGTAGTTTATTGTTGCCTATCGCATACAGTAGCAGTATATATCACAAAACGAAATTTTCTACCAGAAGACTAGATTGCAATAAAAAAAGACAAATGTGCAGCGAAGAAAAGAAATTTCTATGCAAATGAAAATCCAGATTTGAACGGTAGCCAGGAGAGATTCCAATGCTGAGAATATGTAAAGACTTAAGGATTCTCAAACACCTGAACAAGCCTAAGGCCCAATCAAGAAAACCTCCATAGGAGCTAACTTAAATGCCGTCCAATAAGGCAGCTTTTAAGTCAGTAATATTAGGAAAATAGTATAGTATATGAGTTAGAATAATTTAATCTAAGATTGATAATATTTTATTTTAAAATTCCAGACCTTGTTTGAAAGGCTCTATGGTTGTTGGACCCTCTGATCTCTTTTTTACACATAAATGCTTATGTGTAGAACCATTGTAAATATTTTGCCATTTCCCGCGTTTTTTTTTATGTCACTTGCGTCTTGCGGGTTGTAAATATAAAAAAAAATCGTAAAATGCTTTTGTTAATATCCAATGAATGGGTTTGAAAATATTTCAAGCATTCAGATACAGGTTTTGGTTTCTTTCAGAGACATCAATTCCTGTATATCCTGAAATAGTCGGAAGCAACAAATTCTTCCATATTAATCTCGTTACATTTTGCGTTATTCGCTAGAAGAGAGACCAGGCACTGGACACAAACGTCCGAAGACGCACTGGAATAGCGAAAGATGCCTTCCAAAATCTAAGAAAAGTATTAAAAAATAGGAAAAAAAAATTCGTTAAAAACGTGTGCTGAAACGCTACGTAATATCAATCCTCCAATATGGCAGTGAATGCTGAACAAATTTCTCCCACATGAAGAGCAAACTGGAAGCAACAGAAATGTGGATCTACAGAAGGATGTTGAGAATACCATGAACGAAACATGTGAGCAACTAGGAAGTTTTAAGTAAAGTGGGTATATAAAAAAACACTTAAGCTTAGAATCAGAAAAAGACAATTTAAATTTGGAGGGCATGATTTTTGGTTGGTTCATTCGTTTTCAACCCATTGTAGGTTATTTAAAGCCATGAAATATATTTAAATAGTAAGAATCCCTGGGGAAGATAATAATAGTTTAGTGATATAAATTTTACTAATTAACCCATAGCTGAGGGCGTAGATGAGATAGATTCCTACATTTTCCAAGCGTATTCGCGCGTAAGTGAATATAACGAACCCAACTGGAATTGGAACTCGGCTCTCCGATTAACAATTCCGAGTCATTATTCATTGCACCACCCGCACATCGAAGATTACAGCACGTGATATTCTCAGGTGGTTACCCATACTGACCAGGCTGGACGTTGATTAACTTCGCTGATCGTACGTGAACCGGTGTTTCAACGTGATGTGGGCGTAAGCCTGCGCATAATGAGAAAGGAAGGCTTGGAAAATGTGACACTCATAAGACAAATTCAAGTCAGTCTGCCTTGTCTAAATGGACGACAGAACAGGAACTAAGAGAAATGCGTGGAGCGACAAAAGCCATACTCGCCCACATTCTGAAAAGTGGTAGCACATAATAGAAGAATTTGTTGAGTTAGATTAAAGTGGATGTGATATTTAACGCCTTTCTTGGCAAAGTGACATCGACATGATTTGATTTTTCTCAGGGCTCTGTCTGCAATAAAGCATCATTGCTGTCGTTTTTATTTTCTAATGATGCACATTTATATGCACACACACAGAGATGAGTACTTCACTTGCTAACAGGCGCCGTGTTCTCGCTAAACCCACGTAAATTAATCAGTTATCTTTAGATGAAACCCTATCCTGGTTTCCAGCTGAGTGGCGTATCTACAGGCAGTTTTGTTTTCTTCGTAAATGTCATTTTCTGAACGATATCTTAATTCCGATGTCTTAATAAACGCCACGCAGATGTTACGCAATTTCGAGTTTGAAATCAGAAATTTCTTAAGAGTCGAAGGCGTTAACGAAACTATTCCAAGGATTAATGGAGGCGGTTTTCTTCATAAGGTTTGCAACTCTGTCTCAAGTGAAATATAATGTCAAAGTAATTGAAAAGTCTGAACAAAATTCTTCTACTTCGTATTATTATTATTGTTCTTGTTGCTGTTGTTGTCGTTATCAGGCGTGTGAAAAGTAAACTATAAGAACTACAGAAGGCAGTGAAAGAAAGCAAGAAGAAAGGACTAAATATTAACTGCGATAAAACAAAATGCATGGTTGTCAGTAAAAGTAAAAACCCGACATGCAAATTATATTTTTTAAGAGACCTAGATCTAGATGTAGACATTATTGCAACAAAACTTTACCATTATATGTAATATTTCTATATATAAACGTAATATATTTATATATATATATATATATATATATATATATATATATATATATATATATGCATGATACATGAAAAACGACAGACAAGGTACTACGGTTAAGCTTTTTATTTTTCTTGTGTTCGAACAAGAGCTTTCTTTTCTGGACAAAGGTTGTGTAAGAACTGTCCAAATGTTTTATATTTCCGAGCCCTTTCGGCTATACCTTTAGCCATTATCAAGGATGATACGATTTTTCAGCTGAATTGAGTGTGTGCGTTCTGTGTATGTCTTAGTGTGTGGTAGGGATGTTTTTAATTTCCGAATACGGTTAGCACATTGTGGCTTTGTTCGTAGTTAATATTGTTAAGAGTTGGCTTTTTCGTTTTTATTATTAAAGCTTCCATTATTTTTAGTCTTTTATTGCAGGTGGATGCAGTTAATATGTTTGTGTCTTCTACTAGTATGTTTCTAATGGAGTCTGGTAAATTTGTGTGTGTGTTTAAATGGGTTCGAATGGAGCTGTGATCAGATAGGTGTAACGTAAGACGTCAGGATAACAACTACATGCTTATCCAGACGTCTTAAGTTAGACCTATCTATGTTTTTCAAAGAAATATTGTTTAAGAGAACGAAAATCAGAAAGGTGACAGGTGAGTCTACAAGAGAGCGTCGTTGTATCAAAGCCAATATATGTAGTGAAATAAATGTAGTAAAACCAAATATGTATTCTGTCCAGGCGTTTCGACGTCCGTCATTTTCTCACCAACGTGAAGTGGATTCCCATTGTTTTTCTACAAATATATTCATGACAACTGTTCTGATGAACTTTTCTTGCTCAGGGAACATGAATTTAAGCGTGCTACTAGATTGGTAGTTGGGTCTCAGAGATTTAAATTGATCTAACTAGATATAACCGCGATTTCTAAAATAAGAGTTAACTTTTATTAATTCTCACCTAGGAAACTCACTTTCAATTTCTTGCTACACTGTCATCTAAATGTGAAAGCAATGACAATCGCCATTTTCTGTGTATCAGAATCCTGTTTCCTTATTGTCATTTCCTCATTAATTTCTTGACATTCGCTTTCACTCCGAGTAACGCATTGAGTCTTAGTGACATTATCGCCATCTTCTGCCTTTCTGAATCCTGTTTCTTTATTGACCTTTCCTCATTAAATTTTTCACATTATCATTCACTCCCAGTAACCCCTTGAGACTTAGTGACATTATCGCCATCTTCTGCCTTTCTGAAACCTGTTTCTTTATTGTCCTTTCCTCATTAAATTCTTCACATTCTCTTTCACCCCCAGTAATCCCTTGAGTCTTGGTGACATTGTCGCCATCTTCTGCCTTTCTGAACCCTGTTTCATTATTGTACTTTCCTCATTAAATTCTTCACATTCTCTTTCTTTTAATTAACCCCTTTTGAGTCTTAAATTCTGACACTATCGCCATCTTCTGCATTTCTGAACTCTGTTTCATTATTGTACTTTCCTCATTAAATTCTTCACATTCTTTTTCACTCCCAGTAACCCTTGAGTCTTAGTGACATTATCGCAATCTTCTGCTTTTCTGAACCCTGTTTCTTTATTGTCATTATATTCTTTATATTATCTTTCACTCCCAGTAAATATGAGCCTTAGTGACATTATCGCCATCTTCTGTCTTTTCTGAACCCTGTTTCATTATTGTCCTTTCCTCATTAAATTCTTCACATTCTCTTTCATTCCCAGTAACCCTCATTATTTCTTAGTGACATTATCGCCATCTTCTGTCTTTTCTGAACCCTGTTTCTTTATGGTCCTTTCCTCATTAAATTCTTCACATTCTCTTTTTACAACAGTAACTTAAATTGAGTCTTTTAGTGACATTATCGCCATCTTCTGCATTTCTGAAACCTGTTTTTTTTTATTGTCCTTTCCTCATTAAATTCTTCACATTCTCTATCACCCCCAGTAACCCCTGCAGTGTTGGTGACATTGTCGCCATCTTCTGCCTTTCTGAACCCTGTTTCATTATTGTACTTTCCTCATTAAATTCTTCACATTCTCTTTCACTCCCAGTAACTCTTTGAGTCTTAGTGACATTATCGCCATCTTCTGCCATTCTGAACCCTGTTTCTTTATTGTCCTTTCCTCATTAAATTCTTCACATTCTGTTTCACTCCCAGTAAACCGTTGAGTCTTAGTGACATTATCGCCATCTTCTGCCTTTCTGAACCCTCTTTCTTTATTGTCCATTCCACATTAAATTCTTCAAATTCTCTTTCACTCCCAGTAAAACATTGAGTCTTAGTGACATTATCGCCATCTTCTGATTTCTGAACCCTGTTTCTTTATTGTCCTTTCCTCATTAAATTCTTCATATACTCTTTCACTCCGAATAACCACTTGAGTCTTAATGACATTATCGCCATCTTCTGTCTTTCTGAACCCTGTTACTTTATTGTCCTTTCCTCATAAAATTCTTCACATTCTCTTTCACTCCCAGTAACCCTTTGAGTCTTAGTGACATTATCGCCATCTTCTGCCTTTCTGAACCCTGTTTCTTTATTTCCTTTCCTCATTAAATTCTTCATATTCTCTTTCACTCCCAGTAACCCCTTGAGTCTTAGTGACATTATCGCCATCTTCTGTCTTTCCGAACCCTGTCACTTTATTGTCCTTTCCTCATTAAATTCTTCACATTCTTTTTCACCCCCAGTAACCTTTGAGTCTTAGTGACATTATCGCCATCTTCTGCCTTTCTGAAACCTGTTTCTTTATTGTCCTTTCCTCATTAAATTTTTCACATTCTGTTTCACTCCCAGTAACCCTTGAGACTTAGTGACATTATCGCCATCTTCTGCCTTTCTGAACCCTGTTACTTTATTGTCCTTTCCTCATTAAATTCTTCACATTCTTTTTCACACCCATTAACTTTTGAGTCTTAGAGACATTAACGCCATCTTCCGCCTTTCTGAACCCTCTTTCTTTATTCTCCTTTCCTCATTAAATTCTTCACATTCTGTTTCACTCCCAATAACCCCTTGAGTCCTAGTGACATTATCGCCATCTTCTGCATTTCTAAAACCTGTTTCTTTATTGTCCTTTCCTCGTTAAATTTTTCACATTCTGTTTCACTCCCAGTAACCCTTGAGACTTAGTGACATTATCGCCATCTTCTGCCTTTCTGAACCCTGTTACTTTATTGTCCTTTCCTCATTAAATTCTTCATATTCTTTTTTGCTTCCCATTTTTGTTTTTTCTTTTTCTTAGTGACATTATTTCATCTTCTGCCTTTCTGAACCCTCTTTCTTTTTTTTCCTTTCCTCATTAAATTCTTTGTGCATTCATTCTCTTTTCACTCCCAGTATTCTTCACATTCTTAGTGACATTATCGCCATCTTCCGCCTTTCTGAACCCTGTTTCTTTATTGTCTTTTCCTCATTAAATTTTTCACATTCTCTTTCTTCCCAGTCTTTTTTTTTACAAAGTCACATTTTTGTCCCTTTCTGAACCTTTTTATTTTCATTGTCCTTTCTTCATTAAATTCTTCACATTCTCTTGTTTTTTTCTTCGTGCTTTTTTTCATTTTTTCTTTCTGAACCCTGTTTCTTTCATTTCTTCATTGTTCATTTCTTTTTCATTCTTCATTTTCATCTCTCTTTTTACTTCTTTCCAACCCCTTTTTGATCATTCATTCTTTTCATTGCAATCGCCATCTTCTGTCTTTCTGAACCCTTTTTTTTTTGTCCTTTTTTCATTAAATTCTTCATTTCTCTTTCCTCCCAGTAACCCCTTGTCTTAGTGACATTTTTCGCCATCTTCTGCCTTTTCTGAACCCTGTTTCTTTTTTTCCTTTCTTCTCATTAAATTCTTCACATTCTCTTTCACTCCCAGTAACCCCTTTAGTCTTAGTGACATTATTCCATCTTCTGCCTTTCTGAACCCTGTTTCTTTATTGTCCTTTTCTTTATTGCATTAAATTTTCACATCTCTTTTTAGCATTCCCAGTAACCATTTCTTCTTCATTGACATTATCGCCATCTTCTGCCTTTCTGAACCCTGTTTTTTTATTGTCCTTTTCCTCATTA